GGGAAAAGGTCACAATCGTGGGGCTCATTTTCCTAAAACCCAAGCACTACCCTTCTTTGGGAATATAATTATCCTAAAAAACAGTCATGATTTTGTTTGACTCTTATGGAATCCATTTTTCACTGATAGTAACTTTCTTGGCCTCCACATACCTGAACTCATTGTCAAACCAAAAGCAGCATGACGGACTGGCTTGTTTGCCTCTTGGAGAAATCGCTGCTTAAAAGTGAGAATAGAGCCTAACTCCATTTCTATTGTAAGCAACTCGAAACAAGCTTCTTAACTTCTTCCACTCACTTCATCTAGTGGCGAACGCAGTGAGAGAAACAGCAACTGCACCCCAGGATTCAGCACCCCGCGCCTGGCCAATGTTTCTCCTTTTCTAGCTGCTTGAGCGTGGCAGGCTCTTCCTATTAACTACATTACATCATCATTATCAAAGACGAAAGGAAATTAATTTTGTTTTTCAAGGTCTTGGCAATAAGTCGGTTCTTTACTTCATCAGACATCTGCTGTTTTCCTACGTGTGTCATTTGTGAAGCTGCACTTTCCTTATGACTTTATTCTCATAACAATTTATCACGCAATAGTGTTTACCAGAGGGCTTGCACCGAAGAATTTTTCTCTCTGCAAGCAAAAAGTGTAACATTAACTTAAAGCCAATATCATCATCTATATTTCATTCTCAAATAGTTTTCTGGGCTTTAGAGAAAAAAAAATAGCAAGACTGTCAAGAAAAAAATAACCACTTAGGGTCTCTGGCTGAAATGTATGGCTGGGACTATTCGACTTTGTTTTAACAGATGGGCCTTTATCAGCAATTTATGTGGGCAGCTCACCAACTTCCCTGAGGAATGGAGGCGTGCCTCCATTTACTTGGGCTCTTATCTGTTCACTGAAAGCCACATTTGACCACAGAATTCTAGGGATTTTTTTTCAGGCACTGATACAAAGGATAAACTACAGAGAATCTTCTGTTCTCTAACAGTTAGTCACTCCTGGGCTGATGGAGTGGCCCTTTGCCTATTTCCACATCTGTGAAGAAAATCTCAGTGGTTCACATGGATACACTGGCTCCCCAAACCCATTACTTCTATACAGATTCCCTCACCTAATGGAACAAGGGGGTCCCTGGGAAAGTGTTTCATGACATTGATTTTTTTTTAAGATTTATTTATTTATTTGAAAGAGTTACAGAGAGCCAGGATAGTGTGGGAGGCAGAAGGCAGGAGAGACAGAAGAGACAGACTTCCACCCACTGGTTCACGCCCCAGATGGCTCAAATGGCCAGGGTTGAGCCACGTTGAAGCTAGGAGTCAGAGATTCATCTGGAACTCCCCATGAGTGGCAGGGGCATAAGGGTGTGGGCCATTTTGTGCTGCTCTTTCCCAGGCCATGAACTAGGAGCTGGATTGGTTGCAGAGCAGTCAGTAATTGAATCAGCATCCATATGGGATGCCAGCACTACAGGCAGCAGCTTTATGCACGGCACCACAGTGTCAGCCCCATGACAGATTTTTGATGAGGATTTGACTCATTTCTCTTTTCCTTTCCCGAACTCTCCTTTTTCCCCATTCTAGGAGCTGCAATTCTGCAGATAAACCCAGGAAGCAGATTTTCTTGGAGGTTATTGTTTCAGACAAGAGCCATCAGCTCTCTGTCAGGTATGCTGGGAAGCTGCAAGAATACTAGAGTACTAGTACTAACAGAAAAAAACTTGTACTTGCCATCTGCTTCCTCTAGGGACTCATGTTTTCATGTTTATATATAAATAGAGATCTTTGGTTAAGGAGAACTGTGCCAAAAAAGAGAGATGAATGATGACTCTTAAAATTTTATTTTACCTTGAAAATTACTTTCGCCTTTCCTTGTTGCAATTTGACATAATCATTTCCACAAGAAATAAATCCTTAGGGCTCGGTTTCTCTAAGTCTATAAAAGGAGAAGGTGGAATAAGATCCAAAGTTGAGGGCTCATAAGAAACACCTGGGCAGCGGGTCAGCTCTTCGATGCCTGAGCTCCACAGCCCAGGGCTCTGACTCCGGCACCGGGAAGCAGGAATGAGAAAGACTGCATTTTCAACTCAGGGCTGGTCATCAAAGGCAAGCAAGCGCAAGGCCAGGCTCTGAGCAGACTGGCCAGCTGACTTCTAAGGTGCTGCAGCTTTCAATAACCTGGGGTCCTGGACAAACCTCAGCTGATTGTCCAAGCACATCTTATGTTACGAACAAACCTTCCCCAACTGAACCACTTTCTGGCTATGTTTGGTTCAGACCGAAGTTGAGGCACAGTAGGGACCTGGTGGCAGAGCCACCCAGCACAGGTCTCTTTCCAGCCACAGCATCAGGGACTTTCTCAAAAAGCTTTATTACTTTGGTGTTCAAAGTTTAAGTTGGCAATGAGGGTTCACAGCTATTCAACACACATTTACTGAGTGCCCAGGGTAGGCCAGTGATCACATCAAAAGTGCAAGCAGTGGACAGAACAGGTAAAAATTCCCTGCCTTCAAGAGGAAAATGAACAAAAGACAAAGAAATAAAAACCACAAGAGCCAGCAGTGATTAACACATATACACTAAGTAGGAAAACGAAGTAGGAAAGATAATGAGTTTTGGGGTACTGTATCAGAGAAGGTGATCAAGAGGGCCTTTCTGAAGAGGGGATATTTTTTATAGAGCCCCAGACAAAGTAAGGAAGGAGCCACATGACATTTGGATAAAGGTCACCCATGCAGGTAGATACCTATGCAAAGGTCCTGAGTTAGGAACATCTGAGGAATGATTAGGTGACAGGCAGGAGGCTGGTGTGGCCTGAGGAAAGGGAGTGAGGGGAAGAGGGACACAGTTAAATTTTCTGGCAAGCATATAATGTTTAATAAAATATGTTAACACGTGTGGCTATCTCTGAAGCCAAGTAGACAACTAGAACATAGGGCCTAAAAGCACTTTGGGGTCTTATCCTGGGTTGATGAGGAGCTATTAGAAGTCCTGAGTCTGCTTGAAAGGCCCAGCCCGGCTGCCATCTAAAGAGACTATAAAGGAGGTGCAAGAGCTAGGATCAGCTAGGTCCTGCTGCTGTAATACGCATCAACTCCTAGTGGCTGATAAACAGCAAAGGCTTTCTCTCCCTCCTTCACATGCCAGGTCTGTTGTAAAAGGACTGGGATTCTGCTCCACTGCTTCTCCTTCAGAGACCCAAGGATAGAGCAGCCTGCATTGGATTCAGGGCAGATCTGCACAACAGCAAGCAGTAAGCCAGACTTCCAGCTGGAAGCAGCACTTCTCACGTCCACTCACACTGAGTGAGCCCAAGGGAGTCCTCTGACCACATCTCGCTTCAAAGGCAGCAAGCAAGACCAATCCTGCACATGCCTGCAGGATGGAGTGTTGTGAACAGCAATAACTAACATGGCAGAGACCAAGAGCAGAGACACCAACTGGGAAGCTATTCCAGGAATCTAAGCAAGGAATGGCAGAAGCTTAGCATGGTCATGGGGAAGATGCTGGGAGGCAGAGACAAGACTGGCTGACATGACTTGGATGTGCTGTAAACCTCTCACAGGGGATGCATCTTGGTGGCCATCCAGTTAGAGAAGGCATTCGATGTTCTTGCACACCCTAAGCCTCAGTAAGTGGTAAACACCTCTAGATGCAGGAGGTGCTCATGGCAACAGAATAGAACAGTTTAATTTGGAACCATCCTGTCTCCCAGGACATACAGCAGTGACACCTTCACAGTATGTTCACAGATTTTCCAAAAATGTTCATGGGAGTTAGGCATTATCAACTGGACTTTAAACAATCTTCACCTCCTAGGACATTGTCTATAATGAATTGCTGTTTTTTTTTTTAACCTACCAACTTCAGGGAAGCTTTCATTTCTTCAGACACACATTTGGGACCTAGAAAATAACTCTCACCAAAGTCGGGAAGCCAACTCCCCATACACACCCAGTCTCAAGCTCAGATGGTGTCGATTAATAGTCATTTGATTTGGGAATGTGAAATGAACTGATAAGAAAAGCTGTGTGGGCCAGTGACATTCAAGAATGAAAACTGACAGATCACCTGCTTTAGAAGATTTGATTCTTCAGATTTTTAAGAGGGTGGAGGGGGGAGACCTTTAAGTGACATTTGCTCTCTTATGGCTTACATTAAACAATTTAATATATAACATGAGGGAGAGAACATGATATAAACAATATATCCAGGAGGAAAAACAAATGACCTCAGCCCCAAGAGGCCCTGTTAGGCACTGGTACTGTGTGTGCGCACTGCAAGGAATGATGTATCGGTTTTACTTCTAATCAGTATCTAAATATATCACCGTCGGTTCCTGGAGTGCATTACACTATCTGGCGATGCGTGCTCACATTTTACATTAATGTGGAAAGTATCCATCCGTTATCAGCAGAACTTAATTCTATACTGAAAAATGAGGTGTCTGCTTGGTACACTTCTATTTTAAGGTTAAGGCCACTGAGAACCCAAATCTAAAATAGAACTTTCGAACTAAACTGTAAGGGATTTTTTATGGGATGGATGTTGAGCGAAAATGGCTCACTGGGCATGTGACTCAAAGACATCTCCTAGCTTTTGGGTGAACCTGGATTCCAATCCTGTATCAGGAATGCTATGGGGACACTCATCTCAATGGTATAAAATTCTCCACAATATTCTTAGAAGACATTTTTAGACAAACAATAGTTTTTAAATAAATACACAACACATATCACTATCTCTGAATTAACCGTCTACATAAACAAGCAACATGTTCTGGAAATGCCATCATGTCAGCTTCCAAGCTAGATCTTCCAACTGCTTCCTGTTTACTCGTGTGCTCTGGCTTTGGGCTCAGAAAAGACCTTCTCTAGATATCCATAAAATGCAAGGGAGTGGTTGTTCTGATATGAAATCAATGCAGGTGGTAATTACTGCAATGAGCCAAACCCTGGGTTCTACTGCAGAGCAAAAACAAAAGAGGTCAGGAAGACCACCTACCAAGATCCTGTGCATGGTCCCTCGAGTGCAGCTGCTGCATTTCCTGAGCATCTCCCATGTATCTGGAACAGTATCTGTAACAGAGAAATAAAGGATAGGTGACTGTGTCTGCTCTTAGGCTTCAAGATGATCATGAGGTTGACCTTCACTGGGTGCAACTGATGGAGCTCAACCAGAACACACAGAAGATAAAGAATAGGGTCAGGGGTGGATCGGGGCTCAACGGACAAAGCCAAGGACAGTGTGGAATCTGACCCTGGGGACAGAGGAGATGATAGGCTCAAGTGCTTTGTTCCTATGGCACACTCCTGTGCTTCTCTCTGTACATTGGCCTCACGCTCTCAGACTGGATTTTCCAAGAAACATACCCTGACGTCTTCAGACTCACAATGTGACCACACAGGCCACAGCAAGAGAAGGGTTTCCCTCCTGAGGGTTCTAGGCAGCAGAGCTGACTTCTGTGCTGCAAATGCTCCCAGCCTGCCCTACTCAAGTTGCTACCCTGGTTATGATCACTGCATGGGAAGCTGGGAAAGGATACCTGCCAAGGACCTCCCTGCCCAAGCAGGTACCTGTGACTGACTACTCTCTGTTGCCTGGTGTTCAGTGCATCTTCACAGCACTGAACTATCCCTGGTTCCTCTTTGCAAGGAATATTCTAGAGGATACCAGAAAGAACAGTTGTTGCACAGTGTGGCAATGGCTATGCAAAAGCCTTACACAAGATACAGTAATGGTCTGGTCCGCAGTTGAGCCCTCAGTGGAGGAACCAGAGAAAAGAAGTGGATAGACATCCTGGGTCTGAACTCCATCCTGCAGTGTTGTCAAGTCTGAGGGTAAGACACACCACGCATAGTAAGCCACAGGAGTGTCATCCAGGGATGCACTGAAGGAGGAAGAATGAGAGCACGGCAGATGCAAAAAGCTTGAAGACACAAAATTTGCGGATGGGGCAGCATCACTTTAGAGGCTAGAGAACTCACACGTTTATTCTGTCAGTGAGTTTTTGGCCTATTTTTAAAAGGTGAGATCCTCTGATTATGAAACAATAAATATAATCTTAATTTATTTTAGAATTCACCAGTGTCTTAAAGTGCTCAAATTACCTCTGGTTTGACTAGCTGGAGTCACTTCATGCCAGTTATTGTGTCCTATGTCACACTATCATCTTGAAAAAAAATCACTTTCTGAAAAACACACTCGAATTTCAACTTGAATGTAATCTGACTCTGGCCTCAGATCAGCTACTTTTCCCATGAATTAGGTTTCTTTTATTGGGGGAAGGTATTAGACACCAAGCCACCAAGGTCTCAGTTCCCTTGGGTAAACTCAGTGTTACCTGGGGTATCATTTTGGGGGAGGGGGGTAAAGTTGGGAAATACAGACATATTTGTGTCTATATATAACACTCATCCACCAACATGCATATAATCTTGAGTCTACTCCAATGCCTCCAATTCTAATCTATCCCCAGAGAGTTCTGTCTTAACTCTCCTATTCCACATTTGTACCTCTTTTTAAATTTTTTTACTTCTTTTTATTATTATCATTTTATGATATAGTTCCATAGGCCCTGAGATCTCCCTTATCCCCTCCCCAATTTCTTCCCCTCTCACTGAATTTCCCTATATCATTAACTATAGTATAGTTCTTCATACACAATCATATGTCCATCATTGCAAGCATGGATAATGGCAGAGTCCATCATTTTATTGTCAAGACATAGTAAACCATTTCATTGGGAGTCCATCTATGTCTGGAAGTAGAGATGCATACTGCATTGTATCCTCACATTTAGATATGATAAAGCCTCTCTTTAAAAAAAACAACTAAAGTATTTATTTTAGAAGGTAGAGTTACAGTGAGAGGGAGGGACAGAGAGATCTGCCATCCACTGGTTCATTCCCTAAGTAGCTGTAACAACCAGTACTGGGCCAAACTGAAGCCAGGAACCAGAAGCTTCATCCATGTCTCCATGTAGATAGCAGGAGCCCAAGTACTTGGACCATGTTATACTGTCTTTTCCCAGGACATTAGCAGGAAGTTGGATGATAAGTGGAGAAGTAAATACATGAACCAGGTGCCCATGTGGGACGAAAGCATCACAGGCAGCAGCTTTCCTGGCTAGGCCAGTACAACGCTGGCCCTTTACCTCTATTATGTCACAGTGACAACTCTCACTCTCAATAATGTGAATATTTTACCCATTACTCCATTCTGAAATACATCTAAAGTAATTTCAGAATGGTTCTCCCAAAAGGCAGAACTCATTTGCTGTTCTCTCATCTTCACTCCCCTCCCCTGAGACTGCATGAAATCCATTCATGGGCTTTCTCATGCTATGCATTTCTCATGAACCTTTTGAAGGCCCTTCATGAGCCTAGATCCGAAAATTATTTGCATCCTATAAACTTATCTTTTAATTACATCTCTCTGTTCACTTATACCTCACTAAGTGGGACACAAAGATTAGTTACTCCTCGCTAGGGTATTGAAGATTTCTCTGCACACTCCTCCTAAAACTGTTCTGCACCTAAACAGTTGACTATATCTTGTTAGAATTATAAGCCAGTCTAGACTGCCCAAAAAAAAGCCAGGTTCAGCAAAATTATGCTTCAACACTATAAAATGCTAAGTATTATAATGAAAATAGACACAAGACAGCTGAATAGTAACCCAGAGCCATTTTAAAGTATATAAAACCTGGTTGTATATAAACTAAAATTGAAATGTCAATGAAGAAGTCATAGGATGTGGTTGAGAACTTGTATTTTTTTTAACTTATTGGTTACTCAATACTATGTCAATTAATTCCATAACATTATAAATTGTTGCTGATGTTATGTTGGGGCTTTTAATTGATCGGGATGATACTTTGCCAGCTCTATTTTCAGACCAGAGATGGTCTCCCCAAGAAGACTTTGAACTTATCTGAACAATAAGATGCTAGACTCTATGTTTGGTATATGCTTGCAATGAAAGAATCTCAACTGAACTTGAACTGTGATAATGCAACAAGGTGGAGGAGTAGGGTTTGGGGAGGGGTTGGGGGACTCCCAGTGTCTATAAAACTGTGTCACATAATGCAATATAATTAATTTTTAAAAATTACATCTCTCTGAACTTTCCAAAGTGCCATTATATATAAGCAAATGCCATGTTCCTAAGTTACTTTGGTCAGATTTTTCTCCCCCATGTTCTGTTACATGTTATTTATTTGAAATACAGTTGGGTTCACCTGCTTCCATTTTCTTCCTATCTTAGCAAGCTTTTCACCTCTCATGATTGCTGATTTGGTTTCATGTTTAAAATACAGATCATCTACATGCTTCCCAAGGTCACAGTTATACAAAAAAGGCAAACGCAGTTAAAGGCACACTGTGCTTTGTTCTTGTTTTTAAATAAGTAGTCTTTTTTTTTCTGCAATGAAATGCCCACACAGAGGAAAAGAAGGTCTTCTGCAAAAGCCTGATGGTGATAGGTTACAGAGAGGAGGGCTCATGTAATGAGGAACTGGCTCTTGATCACGTTCTATCACCAGCACATGGGGAGATGGGTATGTGGACAAAGCGGTGGTCCAGCTCTGGGTTGCAGGCCATCACATGTGGCTGAGAACAAAAAGATGTACCTTCACAGAATGAGGCTCAGGGGGATAGGAACTGTTTTGGGCAGAAAGACAATAAATTCTGGTTTTGACACATACTGTACTGGGGCCTGGGTTGTCTTCTTCAAAGCCAGAAGAAGCAGGAGAAAATGGGAAATGAAAGGGAGAACAACAGCAGCAGTGAACATGGGAAGCACCAAGGAAAGGCAACATGGTAAATGAATGCTTGGAGTTTGTCCTTCACACAACCTTAAAAGCCTATCTTTACTATCTGGCCCCTTACCACAGCTACAAATGCATAGGACCTTCAGAGTATGTAGGTTAATGGCTCTGGAATCACACAGATGGAGCCTTTAGTTCTAGCTTCACGGTAAAGCTAACTTGGTTGCCTTTTACTCCTCAGCTCATCTTCCTACGTCTTGGCTCCTCTACCTAAGTAGAGAAAGCAACACATCACCCACCTTACAGTGTCGTTATGAAGTTTGCAAGCTAATATAAAGTACGTGCCCAGCACAATACCTGATGAAAGGAAGCCACTCAATAAATAATTGACAGTTTTTCATTTTTCACTTATCCTTGTATCTCCTTCAAGGATCCAAATTTGTCTCTTTCACACTCCTATACAAAGGTACTTCAAAACATTTGCAGAAAATGGAATTAAAAATGGAGAAGCTTATTTGATGAATGGTTTCTTTTACTAATCATTTATTAATTTTGAAAGGAAGGAAAAGAGAAAGAAAGAGCGTTCCCACCTGCTGGTTCACTGCTTAAATGCCCACAATGTCTGATACTGAGTTAGGCTGAAGCGAGGAACCAGGAATTCAATCCAGGTGTCCCATAGGGGTGTCGGGAATCCAATCCCTTGAGGCATCACTGTTGTCTCCCAGCCTCTACATTAGCAGGAAATTAGAGTCAGGAGCTGGAGTTGAGAACTGAACCCAGGAACACCAATATAGGATGCAGGCATCTTAATTACCAGGCAAAATGACCACACCACTTTTTTGTTCCCATTATATGCATTTTCCATGAGCTTTTGGAAGACCTCTTATGTGCATAAATCCAATTTTTTTATACACCAAAATAAGCTCTGTTGTGAATGTTCTAAGGTATTCTACCTACACAATACTGCAGCAGTTCTCCTCCTTGCTGACATAATAAAATCACCTAAGGGAGCCTTGAAAAACAGCAGGCCTCAAGCCTCAAGGCCCAGAGAGTCCAATTCAATTCACTGGCATGGAACTCGACATTGGTGTTTTGAAAAGCTCCAAGGTGGTTTTAAGCACAGTTTAAACACCCTGGCTCTCTTCAGCATGAAATGCAAAGCGGAGCTCTCCGGAGCTGCACTCCCTCTTAACCCTTCTGACAGCACTTTAGAGTAGAAATAGATTGCTGAAATTTTTCTCTTTTACCCCAAACATCCAAAGTGTATGGCAATATGTTATTCTTTGGGAAGTTCTTTTCTGAGAAACA